TCGGGGGCACCGCGTCGGGCGGGGCAGGCTTCGCAGCAGCGTGCTTCGGGGGCGTGGCGCGCGACGACTTGAGCACGATCTCAAACTCGGTGCGCGGTCGCTTCGCGGGGCTCACGGGCTCGAGGTCGTAGTTGCGGTCGGAGATGCTCAGGTGACGCTTCGTGCGACCACGTTGGCGGCGTGCGAGAGAATGTTCTGGGTGCTGTTGCGAGCTGTGTGGAAGGGCGCGTTGGCGTGGGCATCAGGAGCAGCGGCGGCAGCAGTGGAGGGCGCCCTTCTGCTGGAGCGCGTAATCGATGCCATGGACGCTGTTTGGACGGCCATTCATGGTTCGGGGGAGGGACGTGTCTCCGGCGCGTCCGCGTTGCCGTTTGCGTGGTGATGGGCTGTGGGCAATTGAATCGAGATCGCTTCTCGAGGGTGGATGGAGCGTGTTGTTTTTTTCGGTCGCTCGTCGTTTCGTTTGGAAGGGATTCAATTGGAATCTGGGTCGGTTTTGGGGTGGTTTGGTTTGGCTTGGTCCCCTCTCTGTGCAAACGCCTCTGGGGGGGGGGACTCTTCTCTGCCGCCGAGAGCTGGGACTTTCCTTACCTTTAGGTACCTTGCCTTAAGGTAGGGACCGAGTGGCAGAGGGACCCTTCTGTGCTTTGCCTCCCAGCGCCTGTGGAATCCATCACGCACGCCGGACACGCTCATCTGCTGCTGGGTGGTGTCATGACGCGCATCGGACGAATTGACGTCTGCATCGACACGCCATTGCCATGGCGCATTCATGAAGGTTCATTGTTCACTACAAGATGCAGTGAAACTAGGCTGGGCCGGGAACTGACAGGTGTGGTCTGGCTTGTCCTATTACCTTACCTGCCTTACCTGGGTCCGGTTCGGTGAATCTGTGAACATCAGTCCTATGTACACCACCCATTATTTGCAGTGATATCAAGCAGCCATACATGGATTCTGCCAAGTTCTGGCCAAAAAAGGAAAAAAAAACAGAGTCGAACATCTGGTCATGCTTAGCACCTCATCACATGCCTCTACATCTTCTTTGATCCCTGTCACCCGAGACATCATACATAGACCTGCTGTATCAAGTAGGTACCTAACGTAAACGGAGTGCTCGATATAGACGAATGCTATGCCGTCCAGCGAGTAATATGCGAGGGTATAACAAAGCCAATCGCCCATCCCATGCTCATGCCAGTATCATGCTCAAGCCGACATCATGCCCATGCCGGTATCATGCTTCATAACCATGCCCTTCATACTCTCAAGTGGCCGTCCGGGTCCTAGCCGTCGTGCCACCCTGTGTCGAAACATCCCCCTCGTCCACCCTCTCCCCGGGACTTGGCTGCGCGTTATTGCCCGTCGATGCATCCTTGTCGTCGTCTTCATCTGTCGGCGCAATATGCAACTTGCGCATGAGCTTCACCGCGGCCGAGTTCTCCTCTCTCTCCTGCTGCTCCCGCGCCGCCTCCGCCTCGAGGATCTCCCTCTCGCGCGCGGCGCTCTCGCTCTTGTCCCGCTCCTCCTCCTCACGGCGCGCCACCGCCTCGGGCGCGACGAGCTTGTCCTTCTTCAGGCTCATCTTCTGCATGACGTGCTTGCCCTTCTTGCGGGTGCGCACATACGTCTCGAGCCCGACGAGGACGGCGTACGATTTGGAAATGGACACGTGCGACACGTCGACGCGCGACTCGCGCAGGCTGCGGATGAAGGCGCGAAAATTGGACGTCGGCGGCCGGTAGTGTCCGCTGAGCGGCGACAGCGACTTGATCTTGCCGTCCTTGACCTTGATGAGCCCCGCCGACGAGATGCGGCTGCCCTGGAGGAACGACGAGTGCTGGAACGCCCCCGAGCTCTTGATGCCCACGTACAGCCGAAAGTTGGTGTCGGCGACAAAGATCCACGTGTTCTTGCGGACGGATTTGCGGAGCATCTTGTTGAAGATGGTGCTCGCCGACACGTGCATCACCTTGCGATGCGGTTTCTCGTCGTCGACTTCGGGCGTCGCGTACTTGGCCGCGCGGTCCGCCTCGAGGGCCGACTCGATCGACGACTCGGATCGGCTGTCGTTCGCGTCCACTTCAGGCTCCGGCGTCGGCGGCATGTCGCGCGCTGTCGACCACGCCGGGGTGGGTCGTCTCGGGGCACGATGCCGCAGATGCTGTCGCGTAGTCCTCGGTCGTATTGATGCGCTCGCCATTCTTGGCCCCAGCAAAGCGCGCCTTCCTCGTCAATGCTGACGAGATAGTGCTGCCGCTCCTCTCGCGACAGGTACCGTACCTGCTCGCGCTTCAAATGGTCCCTCGGGCAGGCAGTCATGTCGATAGTCTGGCCTTCGCCG